ATCTGGATGCAGTCAGAGATCGTGTTAAATTAACCTTTTCCTCCACATTTATTTTTTTTATTTCATTCAAACAAACTATTAAGTTAAGAAAAACAAACAAACATAAAATCTCAAATTTGGAATGAAAAGGAGCAGAAAGAAGACTTAATCTTATAATATCTGCCCCTCTGTCACAAAGCATTCACTAAAACAAAACAAAACACTTAATTCAAAAACATTTAAAAGGCAAACGCAGCCACTGGCAGCCCCATCGTAGGTCCTCCTTACCAATTCATTTTACACCGTACAAAGCATATCACAATACATTTTGTATGACATATTTTCTCATATTTATTCAACAAACTTGCTTTAATTCTTCTTTTAAATATCATGTTTGATTTTGATTCTTTAGTTTCTCTGTTGAGATTGTTCCATTAAGATTCCCTTCACACTAAAACAACGTTCCCTTAATTAAATAAACCAACTCTGATGGTTACGTGTTTATTAGTGTGTGCCCCCCCCCCCCCCAGAAACCTCTCCTCAACAGTTTGGTAGTCATGACGACCGACTTAAAAAACCTGCCTTTTCTCAGCTTACATTATTTCCTCACCTCCTTCTCTTCTCTGCAGGGGCGCAAAGAGACCGAGTGGAATGACCTCCGCCCACGGCCGTACTCCCAGCTACGGCTCACAGACTCCCATGTACGGTACGGGCTCCAGGACGCCCATGTACGGGTCTCAGACGCCGCTGCATGACGGTAAGAGCCTCGGCGTGATCTCAGCTTCTTCTTTTTTTTAGTTTTCTGACATTTTTCCCCACATGTGCTCATCGCTCCTTCTTTTTCCCCTCCAACAGGAAGTCGCACACCTCACTACGGCTCTCAGACCCCACTGCATGATGGGAGCAGGACGCCAGGTCAGAGCGGAGCCTGGGACCCCAGCAACCCCAACACACCTTCCCGGTAACACACACACACACACACACACACACACACACACACACACACACACACACACACACACACACACACACACACACACACACACACACACACACACACACACACACACACACACACACACACACACACACACACACACACAGCTCAGCATTTTCAGGTGTGTTTGCTATAAACACATTTCTTTTGTTGTTTTTGATATATTTTTCGGTTTTCTTTTTCAGGAACGACGAGGAGTACGACTTCGGCTTCGACGACGAGCCCTCACCGTCCCCTCAGGGCTACGGGGGGACCCCCAACCCCCAGACCCCGGGTTACCCAGAAGTCCCGTCTCCACAGGTCAACCCTCAGTACAACCCTCAGACACCTGGCACACCTGCTATGTGAGTGTTTTTTCTTTTTCATCAGATCAGATTTGATTGATGTCCCAGGACGTTCACACTCTGTCTCACCTGTCGTGTGTTTGTGTGTGCGTGTGCGTGCGTGTGTGTGTGCGCGTGCGTGTGCTCAGGTATAACACCGAGCAGTATTCCCCCTACGCGGCACCGTCACCTCAGGGCTCATACCAGCCCAGCCCCAGTCCTCAGAGCTACCACCAGGTGGCGCCCTCGCCGGTCGGCTACCAGAACACACACTCTCCTGCCAGCTACCATCCGACGCCCTCGCCCATGGCGTACCAGGTAAGACATTAGGGGGTTGCGACCGTCACGCCTCGCTCTGATTGGCTGGATTACAAACAGTGCAGAAGTCTTTGAGCTTCTTAATTGGACATGTAGTGACTCTTGTTGCTCCCACAGGCTAGTCCCAGTCCCAGTCCTGTGGGCTACAGTCCCATGACGCCCGGAGCGCCCTCTCCTGGAGGTTACAACCCTCACACCCCTGGCTCCAACATCGAGCAGGGCGGCAGCGACTGGGTGACCACGGACATCCTGGTCCGGGTCAAGGACTCCCTCATGGACCTGATGGGACAGATGGGGGTCATCAGGAGCGTCACGGTAACAAACACACACACACACACACACACTAGTGCTGGGCGATATGGTCTAAATTTGATATCACAATATTTTATTTGATATGACTGGATATTTATCATATTAAAGTTTATAAATGTAGTCTATAAAACTGAATCTCCACTGTATTAAAAAGAATATATCACTGATCCAGGAACATTACTTTAGATTCTAAAAATAACAGTCACCAATTTACTCTTGAACCATTCTGATGCAAAAGTCAATTACAACTTTTATTAAATGAATTGAGCTCTAATTATAAACATATTGTGTATTTTTCTTATATTTATGTGCTCATGTTTATTCACCATGCTGTAAGAGTCTACTTAATGTGATATTAATATGAGGCTGTGATAGATCTGGAATCTCTCCTTCTTTGTTCTCTGTGAGAAACTCTTCATCCTTACATCTTTACTGTAGTCTGTAGGGACAGCAGTGAAGCCTCCAGCTGAACCTGCAATCAGCTGGACTCTGTCAATCAATCATCCGGGTCAGCGGGACACTTAGAATGTCGAGCTCTGCGTTAAGAGCCCTTTCTTTGGAAGTAATTCGACCTCGCTCTCATCTTTCTCTTTCTCCTCCGTGTTGGTCGCTTGTAAGAGCGAGGCTCCTCAGCAGCAGGAGGGAAGTCTCCTCAGCAGCAGGAGGGAAGTCTCCTCAGCAGCAGGAGGGAAGTCTCCTCCGCCCTTTCGTCTCCGAGCAACAAGCGCTGTTCCCGTTTCCATATCAAGCATTAATTAAATATCGATCGAATCAAGCTTCACGATATATCGCCCAGCACTAACACACACACACACACACACAGTCATGAGTGTTTGGACGGGGTCTGGCGCTTCTAGAAGGTTTTTTTTATTTTTATTTGGATGATTTTTAACCTCCATGCGATAGGTCAGCTGAAGATCAGATGGTAAACATTTGGAGGAGAGAGAGTGCACATGGAGCGTGCTATAACCGCCCAGCTAGTCGCGCCCCCCCCCAAAGAATATAAAACCACGACTGTGGAGAGAGAAGTGACAAAATAATGGTCAAATATTGGGGTGAGCCAAACTATTTCACGGATGGAAGAAAGCCTGAAACCACAAAGTCATTTTCTGCTTGATGGACATATTTATCATTACGACACTTAACTCTGGAAATGTCACAACGTGGTGAAGAAAATCTCTTTCAGGCGTTTTAATGACTCTGAAACCTCTGAGTGAGTAAAAAGTTCAAAGTGTGCCGAGGCGTTAGAGCGAGGCGTTGATGAACAGATGAACTAGAACAATGTTTCATTGAAGTGATCAGACTTTCCAGATGTTTAAACCCAGAGAGAGTTTGATTACTGAGGGAAACATCTGGTTCTGCTTCATCATGTTGTGTCTGATTAGAGAGAAGATGATGTTTTTGTTTCAGAACAGAAATAGCTCTACACGATGAACGAATATAACCCGTTAGATCGACATCTGTCGAGTTTGCTCAACATTAAACACATATTTGTACGGATAAGAAGCCTTTAAAGATACTAAAGTTTTTGACGAGACGCGTCCCGTTACAACTATAAAATGACGGATTGCTCTGGCTTTGATATCTGTTAGATATATTTTGTTGTGGAGTTCTTACATCACCTCAAATATTTCCAACAAAGGTTTAGTCCATTTTAAAATAATTTAGACATTTTAATGTAAAATTCTACATATTTAAGCCTTTAAGACATAAACAAGTTACTCTTTAATCACACAAGCTCGACATCGGCAACTGGATCAAAGATTATAGCCCGTTAGCATCCTGTTAACTGAGCTAGCAGCCCGTTAGCATCCTGTTAACTGAGCTAGCAGCCCGTTAGCATCCTGTTAACTGAGCTAGCAGCCCGTTAGCATCCTGTTAACTGAGCTAGCAGTCCGTTAGCATCCTGTTAACTGAGCTAGCAGTCCGTTAGCATCCTGTTAACTGAGCTAGCAGCCCGTTAGCATCCTGTTAACTGAGCTAGCAGTCCGTTAGCATCCTGTTAACTGAGCTAGCAGCCCGTTAGCACAAAAGTTCAGTTTTTTTTTATCAGATATCACGGAGAATCCTGCAGGAATGAAACTTCTGGTTATCTTGCTGCCGAACATTTAATTAAGTGTGTGTGTGTGTGTGTGTGTGTGTCTCTGTCTGCGTGTCTCTGTGTGTGTGTGTGTGTGTGTGTGTGTGTGTGTCTCTGTCTGCGTGTCTCTGTGTGTGTGTGTGTGTCTCTGTCTGTGTGTTTCTGTGTGTTTCTGTGTGTGTCTCTGTGTGTGTGTGTCTCTCTGTCTGTGTGTTTCTGTGTGTTTCTGTGTGTGTCTCTGTGTGTGTGTTTCTGTGTCTCTCTGTCTGTGTGTGTGTGTGTGTGTGTGTGTGTCTCTGTCTGCGTGTCTCTGTGTGTGTGTGTGTGTCTCTGTCTCTCTGTCTGTGTGTTTCTGTGTGTTTCTGTGTGTGTCTCTGTGTGTGTGTTTCTGTGTCTCTGTGTGTGTGTGTGTGTGTGTGTGTGTGTGTGTGTGTGTGTGTGTGTGTGTGTGTGTGTGTGTGTGTGTGTGTGTGTGTGTGTGTGTGTGTGTGTGTGTGTGTGTGTGTGTGTGTGTGTGTGTGTGTGTGTGTGTGTGTGTGTGTGTGTGTGTGTGTGTGTGCAGGGAGGGATGTGTTCAGTGTTCATGCAGGAGTCAGAGAAGGTGGTCAGTATCAGCAGTGATCACCTGGAGCCCGTCACCCCGACCAAGAACAACAAGGTAACAGCTCTCGTCTCTCCTCGTACGTCTGGAACACAAACTGTTCAAACATGCAGAAAATAATCTGCTGTCTCCTTCGTTCACAGGTGAAGGTGATTCTGGGAGAAGACCGCGAGGCCACGGGGATCCTCCTGAGTATAGACGGAGACGACGGCATCGTCCGCATGGAGCTGGACGACCAGCTGAAGATCCTCAACCTGCGGTTCCTGGGACGCCTGGAGCACTGAGTGACGGACGCGCCGAGAGAGACGTGGGCGCAGAGACTCGAAACACAACACAGAGACACACACAGACGACTGTAGTGAGAGTTCTGTTGGCTCTAACACAGGCGGATATGTCGGGAGTTTGTTTTGTTTTTATTACTTTGTTTAGCGCCGCACACACACACACACACACACACACAGATGTGTGCAGCAGATGTCCCAGCGTCCAAACGGCTTCAGGAGATTTCCTTTCATGGATCAGAAATCTGTTGTTGGCGAGCAGCAAACATTCCTCTCTCTCTCTCGCTCTCTGTGAACTCCCAGCATCCGTCTCACAGGCTGATCAATTTTTTTTTTTTTTTAAAGCTTTTCTGCCTCCACTGAAGTGGTCTCGATCTGTTTTTAGTGCTTTCTCAATGTTCTGTCAGTACTTTTGGTTTTGTGGGTGGAGAAGGGTCAAAAAGTGAAAAGTAACATGTCAAAATAAACTGTGAACCAGTTCATGTTTGTCCGCTCCATTTGTGGATGTTGACCTCGGTCCTGGACTTTGGTCTCGTCTCAACAACTCCTCTCTATGGTGCTCTGAATAAGATCAAAATATAACTATTACTATATTCACTCTTTGATTACAAGTGTCTGAAATGTAAGTTTAAAATCATAAAAGGAACTTGAAGTGAAATGTTGCTTTTCATACTTAAAGGCTTTCTATGTGATTTTTTGATCCAGCAGATGTCGCCCTTGAGCACCAGCATGAAACCAAAACAACTCTCGCTGCATTGTTGTGTTAGCATGCTAATGCTAGCGATCTTTATTATGCTGGTATCTTCACACTGCATGTAAATTGACCTGAAATGAGCGTGATCTAGAAACACAGTTAAGCAGTGAGTACAGTATGTTATTCTTCTTTTCTCTAGTCCCTCAATTAAACAACTTTTATACACGAGGGGAGGAGTCAGCCGGCCGTCCTGACGATGTAAACAAAGTGAAGATAGGACTCTGAAAACTCTGAAAACATCACAGACAGTGGGACTCGGGTGTTACACCCATTGTAGACAGTCATGACTCACAGAGTTATTTTCAGAGGAGATACTTGATTTATATTATATTTAAGTGTGAAAAATCACAGATAAAGACTTCAAAGCGTTTTTATGCTGCGTTCCATTTGATCTCAGAAGTCTGAAATTCCGAGTTGCCAGTCTGATGCGTCTTCAGGAATGCCCCCCTGAAGTCGGACTTGGAAACTGGGAGAATCTTCAGTAGCCCGAGTTCAGATCCAATATGGCTGCTACGTGCATCGACAGGGATGTTTAAGATGGATGTCTCTGTTACGACTTGATGAATGAATGAAAACTTTATTGCCCCTAGGGGAATTAGCCTTGCACAGAGAGCTAAAAAACACAATACAAACAAACATTTACAGGACAGCACATAAGAACACATAAAAACACACTAAAGCATCATATGATTCAATGAGGGATTTCAGCAAGTTAAATAAAGTGCAGAGTGCTGAGTTCGTCCTGTATAATCAGCTCTTATTAAGCAGCTGAATACTGCACGGTACAGAGGATGTAATGCCTCTTTTAGTCCTCATCCTGGGCATTCTGTACCTGCGCCCTGAATTCAAGAGTTCATACTCTGACCAAAGGGGGTGCAGAGGGTCAGCTGTGATCTGACCGGTCTGTCAGGAAAGAAATGCTGTACATTTGCTTCCCAGTTATCTTGCTGCCTAGTTTAAGTGCATTTTGTAAGGACAGTGCTCCTCCCCAACACTGAATACAAAAGGTCAGCACACTTTCAATAAAAGTCTTGTAAAATAATTTCAGCATAGTGCTGTCAACATTATAATTTCTTAGTTTCCTCAAAAAACAGAGGCGCTGTTTATCCTTTGCATATCTTGCTTTTGTGTTGGTGTTCCATGTCAGTTTGTTGTCATTTATTGTGCCAAGATACTTATACTCTGGTACAATTTATTTTTCTGTGTCCTTCATCTTTACAGGGGAGAGAGGTGACTGTCTTCTAAAATCAATAATCATTTCTTTGGTTTTGTATTTAAAATCAATGAGTTATCAGAGCACCAGTTGTAAAAGTTGTCTAGCTCCGCTCTGTAATTGGTCTCATCATCATTTCAAAGACCTATCAGAGCAACATCATCTGCATATTTAATTAATTTACAGTTGTCATGATGACTTACACAGTCATTGGTGTACAAAGTAAACAACAAAGGTGAGAGGACACACCCTTGTGGAACCCCAGTGTGAGTGCTAATTACTGAAGAGTTTTTCCCATGGATGGTAACAAACTGCTGCCTTTCAGAAAGGAAGTTATGAATCCACCTAATGAGGGTGTGGTTAACTCCCATACTACACAGCTTCACAGCCAATAGTTGTATATGGACAGTGTTAAAGGCAGATGAGAAATCAGCAAACAGTATACGCACATAAGATGATCGTGTTTCCAAGTGTTTATAAACTTGGTGAAGCAATGCAGCCGTTGCATCCTCAACACCTCTCTTTGCTCGATATGCAAATTGTAGAGGATCCATTTGACTGATTGATTCAGACCTTCAGTGAGATAAAACGATGTGCTCAAAACATTTCATGACAACTGAGGTCAGAGCAATAGGTCTAAAATCATTGAATTTAGAGGGGCTTGTCTTTTTTGGTAATGGGATAATTTTAGATATTTTAGGGTTAGGGTTAGGGTTAGGACCTAACTGCTTACAGCATTTTGTAAGTGTATTCCCGTCTAACCCATCTGGACCAATGGATTTCCTCACATTAATCTTTGAAAAAGGCAAACCGCACTTCTTCAGTTGTTATTTGAATAGAAGTGCCATATTTTCTCCAGTCTGCCTCAGGCTCCAATGGGGATTGACTATCAGTCTCATATCGTGCAAAGAAGTTGTTCATGTCATTGGCAAATTCAATTGTATGCCACGTGTGCGTGTCAGCCGCAGAGCAGCGCCACGAATTCAGTAATAAAAATCTATGAAAGTTATATATAAACTTATATCAGAGCACGTTGATGACCACAATGACGTTAAGTTGACAAGTCTGACTCCTCATTCTTTCCTCAGTTTGTGTGTCCAGCTCTGTAAATTAGAAGAATACATTTCTTTGTTTTTTGGTTTTAAGTTAAAGAAAATATCCACCGGAACACGTTTAATTAATTTCTTTAAATGTGTTTTATTATTCAGCTTTTCAGTTACACTTTGATCAATCAGACACAGGATGGTGCAGGACTCAAACATTACATTTATATCAACTACATTAAGTGACAGGACACACTCAGATTCTGCAGTTAAAAGTGTTTAAAAAGTTGTCTGCAGCTGTGGCCGTGTCGTCCTGGGTCGTGGTTCTGTCAGTCGCAGGGTCTCTGAGGCTGCTCGTGGTCGATGGGGAGGTAATAAAACGGGTCCTCAGGAGGGCATGGGTGTCCGGGAGGCGGGTCTGTCCTGGCCGACCTGGACTCCAGTTCCCTGTCGATGTTGCCTTGGTGATCACAGCCGAGGGTGAGGTTGTGGGACAGAGGGATCTTCACCTGGAACCACACCTGTCTGTCCTGAAGAGGAAGAGGAGGAGAGAGGTGGTCCACAGTGAGGCATGGTATGAGGAATTTCTGATATTTTAAAACCAGTGCCCTTATCTTCTTAAAGGTCACATATTTAAAATCCTCTTCTCCATGTTCCTCTAACTCTAACATGTGTCTCTATTCTGTCTACAAACCCCCCAATCATGAGAAAAGTCCATCCTCTCCGTCTTCTGCCTGCTCCACTTTTCAGAAAATGTGTGCTCAAACAGGCCGTTTGGAGATGTTCCCTTCATGACATCACAAAGGCAGTAGCCCCTCCCCCAGGTGGGTGACACTCCCACAGCTAGGTGTTTGTTCTGCCCTCTGAGTCTGCCTTCTCACCGTAAACAATAGGACATGGAGCGAGAAAGACCGAGTACACCCAAGCGCCTTCCAGCGAGGGGGCGTGGTCAGACACAGCTCATTTACATATTTAAAGGTACAGACACAGAAACAGCCTGTTCTGAGCAGGGCTGAAATAGAGGGGTTTATAGACATGATCAAATACAGGATCAGAGTGGATTTAGAACAAGAAACTTCACACACATGTTTTGAGGAACTCTTAGACTTATTTAAACTAAAGAGGAGGAGGATATGAGACCTTTAAAGATGTTGCCAGAAGTATACTACATATCAGGATAGTCAGTTATTTAAGCCAAGAGAGAAAACTTTCTCCATGAGATATGTGATAGTAGATTTTACAGCAGCAGTAATAATCAAGCTTTAATGAGTCACAGATTCCCAGCACAGTGAAAAGACGAGATGTCAGTGACATTATGATTAACAAAATGAATAATGTTCTGTTCCCTTCATTAAGTGTGGTGTGTCCTGTTTGGTTAAAGAGAGCACTGAGAATAAGGTTTTTAACCAAAGCCTGCTGGAGAACAAGAAGGCCTTCTCACGCTCTGATCTGCTCCAGACGCCGCTCACTGTCACTTCCTGTTTTCTCCCATTGTTGTTGTGGATGTTAGTGTGACATCAGAGAGCAAATCATCTTTATGGTTATGTGTACGGAGGGACCTGTTAAGTTAATTCACAGTCTGTGGGACACGCAGAGCAGCGTCCGGTGCTCCTGCAGCCACCCTCTAGTGGACACTCGATGAACTGCAGGATGTTGCACTTCTGCATCAGCTTCATTTTTCAACACCACAGGTTGCTGCTTGGTCAGAACATAGGGGCAACACCAAGCGGGGTAAAAGGGACCGGGCCTTTAATTGGGGGGAGCACGGCCTTTGGCACATCTGGCATCACCAGCTGGACATCTGGATAGTAAAAGTCTTTCCTGCCCAACATCTTCATGAGAGTTGTATAAAGTGATATTAATGAACAAAAATCTGATTCAAGATCATTTTCATCCAGGATCAATAAATCAGTCGTCTTTTTTTCAAAGAACCAAAACTCTGTCAGCTGTAAATGATCAGGGCTCCTGGCTGAGGAGGAGAAGGAGGAGGAGGAGGAGGAGGGATACATGATGTGAAAAGTCTCAGTGATGCCTCTAGTCCAATCAGATCGCTTGGTCAAACCTAACTGCATGTTAGGAAGACAAAGAGCTGACTGAATCAAATCAGTGGCATGACGATAGATTTCATACCTTGTGATCCTTGACACACTGGATCTCATGTTTTTCTCCCAGATGTGGAGCCAGGACCTGACGCACATCTGGAACCTGCACGAACAAAGAGAGAGTATTGTGATATAACCTACACACAGTCCAACAAAAAACTACAAACCTGCGCCTATAAAAAATCCTCTGAACTAGATTTAAACTTTCAGTGACTATGAAGCATGATCGCAGTGATTTTTAACCCTCAGAGGCATGACTGACATCTTGAGCAAACAAATATCCAAAGTTTGTTTTATTACCTTCTGACTCACAGATTTATTATGAATTCTAAACGCTAAATACTCAACTTAAATCACGCCGTTTCCTC